GCTTGGAGCAACCTGGTCTAGTGGAAGGTGTCCCTGCTGACGGCAGGGGAGTTGGAACTGGATGAGCTTTAAGGTCCCTTCCAACCCAGACCAGGCTGTGATTCTACGATTCTATGGATGTTTTTGTCCATTGCTAAAGAGGGGATAAGAAATCATCACCTATGTCTTACTATAGCCTTCCTACATACCCAAGTGTCAGAGTTCTGGGACAGGTGTGGAAATGTCAGGGATAATAATTTCCCAGGATCATGGTGGGAGTAGATGCATTACATCTGCAAATTCTTCTGTTGTCACTGCATGGCAAATAATTCAGAAGTGTGAAGTATTTCTTCTATGCTGTTTATAGGTGCCCTCTCCCAAATGGAGCCAATGTTCTTTTAATGGAGCATGGTGGGATCCTCGGTCAGTCCTTAATTTTCCTCTATTTTATCTTCTGAAAGCATCCTACTTTGCTGTGGCTGTTGTGAAGAAATCTGACAGTGGTATCACATGGAACAACCTTCAAGGCAAGAAGTCATGCCACACCGCTGTCGGGAGAACTGCTGGCTGGAACATCCCCATGGGCTTGATTCACAACAGGACAGGAAACTGTAATTTTGGTGAGTTGAGTTTTGCATTCATTTCTTTGAGCAAATTAAACAAAAAAAAAGTTTTCCCATCCTTCATCTGATCTTCAAAGTTTCTTGTGCCTCAAAGATTCCCACCTGGAGGTGGGAAATGGAGAAGACTCTGTTACTTAAGGTTTCACTGAGGAAAGTTTTAGGCTGTTGGTGACTACCTCAGAGTAAGATAGGGCACTTGGGGGGCTTTGCTTTCTTTTCACATGTCTCCCCTTGCCTTTGCAGCAGCTCCAAAGGTATTCTCAAAAAGGGAATACAGGCTGCCCCAGTGCTTGTGCAGGGTGTGGAGTGGGGGTAAAGGATGGGTTTATGAATCTCAGAAGGGAGGGGAAGGGCTGAGAACAGGGGACAGAGCCTGATCTTCATTCAAGAAACTTAAAGGGACTGATCTGACTGCCTGAGAATAAGGTGGTAACAGTCTGCACTGGCTCTGGGCTTTCAGAGATTGTTCAGATCAACATCTACATCCAACTTTCAGTCAGTGAGAGTTATGGTCCACCAAAAATAATCTGGAAATAGTATGGACCAAGGCAAACTAAGAGTGTAATTATTAAAAGGCAATCTTTAATTGCAAGAAGGTATTAGTGTTAGTAAGTTTTCACATCAGCCTCTCCACCCTCCTTCCTGCCTTTCCCATTGTCTCTTCTCCTTCCAGAGATCTGCCATTGCTGCCAACCACCACTCTAAATGCTGAGGAGGCTTGGGCTGGCTCTGCGTGAGCTGTGAATGGTTTGCAGCAAAAACATTCTTCTTTCTATGCCAAGACTGTTCCTAGTGCAATTGAGCCTTAGGCCCCACTTTGCTAACAATAATAAGTAACAAGTGTCACAGTGAAAACTGGAAGCGTGCGATTTGCTGTCCACTATACTGTGCTCCTCTCACAGTGACAGCTAATACAAATTCAGTGCAAGAACATATTACTAAAAGAAAATCCAGTTTTCCAGTGCAGGAAAAGTGATTTTTTCCTATTACTGTCTTCAGATGAATACTTCAGCGAGGGCTGTGCTCCCGGGTCTCCTCCTAACTCCCGCCTCTGTCAGCTCTGCAAGGGCTCAGGGGGGGTCCCGCCAGAGAAATGCGTTGCCAGCAGCCACGAGAAATACTATGGATATACTGGAGCTTTCCGGTAGGTGATGGAAACACTCTGGCTGCTCTCAAGTCCTCTGGGGCTCATCACAGAGGCTATGGGTAAATCGCACGGAGTACAAACTCAGGGCGATGTTAATTTGCTGACCTTTTTCTCCATTACACTGATGAAAGTGTATATATCTGCCATATTACACATACGCTACACATTTTTTTTCTTTATGTGGCTTCCTGCAAATTGATGCAAAATGTTCCCATTCTGGTGCCTAGTGCCTCCAGGCAAACTTGGACAGACACAAGTGTTTTGGCCAGACCACCTACAAGGGCAGCAGCACTACGCTTTTAACAGGAATAAGGAGTGTTAAAGGATGGGAACTCACAAACAATGCTTCCACTAGACATGCTGTGGTGGTTTTCCTTGGCCAGCACTTGGCTGCAGCCAAACCCAGCCGCTTGCTTACTCCCCCCACAGGGGATAGGGAAGAGAATTGGGGGGCAAGGGGAAGCAGACTGGTAGGGTGAGTTAAGAACAATTTAATCATGGAAATAAAAGAGAACTTACAATAATAATGATATTTAAATAATAATGACAATAATAACAGTAGTAAAATATGCCAATGAGTGACACTCAGTGCCATTGCTCACCACCCACCCACCAAGCCCGGCCCGTTCCCAGATAACGATCCCGAAGGAGCAACAATGCCGAGCCGAATCTGCAATCCCAGGAGAGCGAGAGCCCGAGCGAAAGCCAGAGAGAGCAAGAGAGGAAGAGCCCCTCATGAATGTCCTGCCCATGGGGGACGGGAGATGGAACAGCCCATTGGCAGAGCCCAATGCCAGCTGAGCTGATTCATTTCAATATTCCTCATCGCCCCCTTAGATCTTGCACTTGCAGACTGACAAAACACAAAGTCCTTCACTCCCAGAGACACAAATGCCAACATGGGGATGTTCTCAGTGTTTCTCTCCTAACAAATCCCAGCTGAACCCAAACCCCAGCGCTGTTCTGGCTGCTGAAAAGAAACCAGCTCTGGCCCAGCTCAAAACAGGACATGCTCCCTGTTAAAAATGCTGCTTGCCTTCGTTAAAATGAGCCTTCCTCTAAAAAGTGCAGAGACCAGAGGTCAGCCCCAGTGCCATCTCCTCTGTACCCACTCAGTAATAGCTCAAGTCTTAAGTAATTCATATGGGGCATGAATTTAAAAAGAGAATGAATCTTGTTACATGTACATCTGACAGCAAAGATGCTAAGAAATGACTTTGGGGTTTGCAGTCCTTTCAGTACAAGTTACTGTTTTTAAAAGCTATTTAACATGTGCAGGTGGGCATTGCAGAAAGCAAAGCCAATTCTGAACCTGCCCGAACTGCTTCTTTCTGACAATAAAATAAATCAGCTACTTATCATGTGAGAAGGATGCATGTTTTTGTTCCACAATGTGTTAAAAGATTGTTTCAGATGTCCTTAAAATATTCAGTGCAGGGAATGAAATCTGGTGTCCTTGGAGAATAATTTTTCAAAATAAGACATAGATCAGAATCAAATCTGCGGGAAAGGACCAGGATTCAAGCCCCTACATCACTTGCCTTTCTTTGTACTTCCCAGGTGTCTCGTTGAGCGTGGGGATGTGGCCTTTATTAAGCATTCAATTGTGCAGGAAAACACTGATGGTACGTGGTTATTCTGTTGCGTGGGTCTTGGCAGCAACACCTTCCCCTGTCTGCATTACTTCTGTTCCCAGTGCAGAAGGTAATGTCACCCCTCCCGCAGGAGGAGCAGAATTCCAGTGTCAGCACGTGCCTTCTGCCCAGGTTGGCTCTTCCCAGGCATTTCTGCAGAGCTATTTCCCCGCTAACTATCAATTAATTTCAGCTGCACAATTATTCAGGTGACCCCTTAACCACAGGCTCCCGCTGTGACACCTTTGTGCAAAGCTGTAGCTCCCCGCTTGCTTCAAACTTAAAAGTTCAGTTGACATTTTTGAAGGCAGTGGCTGAAGTTTTCTAAGCATTTGGGAAAAAAATGCAAGGAAGGAGATGTAACTAAATCCCCCAGCCTGCTCTGAGAGTCTGGTTCATCCCATTAACTTTTCCTGAGTTTTACTTACAGCTTCCTTTATACATGTCAAGTCTCCAAATGCCAGTGCACATGCAGGCAAGGGACAAATGCCATGATCAGGTGTTGTGAGGCTGAAGTTCTTCTGACACATAGGATCTCTCAATCTCCAAACCAATTCTTGTTAAAGGCAAAAATAAAGAAGACTGGGCCAAAAATCTCAAAATGGACCAATTTGAGTTGCTGTGCACTGACGGGAAACGAGCAAATGTCATGGATTACGGGCGCTGCCACTTGGCCAAAGTTCCTACCCATGCTGTGGTCACACGTCCTGAGAAAGCAGACAAAGTCCGTGAGCTGCTGGATAGACAAGAGGTTAGTAGTACTCAGAGTGGAAGAAATGTTCTGGGATTGGTTTTATGCAAAATGTTTGCATTTTTAAAATAATGATGCTCTGAGTTTCCCAAGTCAATGCAACATGGAAGACTTTACCCAACCGATGTGGGGTGAGAGCCTTGTCCCTTAGCCTCCCCCTTCCTCCATCCCTTCCGAACTGCTCTTTCTCCTCTGCCACCTTAGCAAATACACCTTCAGGTACAAGCCAGATCATAGTGGTTGCTATTGTTACACTATACTTGCATGACATAAGATTATCACCTCCTTCTCAGGCTATGCTCTTGTAGGTGTCTCAGAAACTCCTCTGAGGTGCCTGGTCTCTAATGCAGGTAGGGCAGGTACAGCCCTGAGAAGACAGCAGCCTCCCTGCCCACACAGTTTTACAGCTACTGGTGTAAACGTAACCAGGTTAATGCTTGATTTTATATCAAAAATGTTAATATTTGCTCCACCATCAGGGTCTGCTGAGATGCACTTGGGAAGTGCATCCTTTTGCTTTCAACTCACAGCTAAGGCATCGGACCTGCTGGCAGCATCTGCCGATGGGTTCTGCATGTAGTGACATGTTAAAATGGAAAAAAAAATGGTTTAGATAGTCGTGCCACAACTGTGCCTACCACTGAGAAATCCCTCACCTAACCACAGGGACAGAAGATTCAAACCTAATGGAGCTCAGCTGGGGGCCTCCCCAGGATGATGGTGAAGAACTGGGGCTTGTAGGAGCTGAATCTTGCCAGCTTTCTACTTTTTACATACATTTATATCTTTGTGCCTTTATTTCAGAAACGGTTTGGAACAAAAGGAACAGAGACAGAGAAGTTCAAGATGTTTGAGTCTGAAACCAAGGACCTTCTGTTTAAAGACTTGACCAAGTGTCTGGTCAAACTCCGCGATGGAATAACGTACAAGGAATTCCTTGGAGATCAATACTATGCTTCAGTCGCTAGCCTCAACACCTGCAATCCATCAGGTAACAGTAACAGCCCCAGGAAGAAGTCAGAAAATCATAGAATGAATCATAGACTGGCTTGGGCTGGAAAGGACCTTAAAGATCATTCAGTTCCAACCCCCCTGCTGTGGACAGGGTTGCCAACCAGTAGATCAGGCTGCCTAGGGCCCCATCTAGCCTGGCCTTGAATGCCTCCAGGGATGGGGCACCCACAACTTCTCCGGGCAACCTGGGCCAGTGTCTCACCACCCTCTGGGTGAAAAATTTCCTCCTAATATCTCACCTCAATCTCCCCTCTCAGTTTAAATTAATTTCCCCTTGTCCTATCACTATCTGCCCATGTAGAAAGTCGCTCTCCCTCCTGTTTAGGAGCTCCCTTGAATTACTGGAAGGCTGCAATGAGGTCTCCTCAGAGCCTTCTCTTGTCCAAACTAAACAAGCCCAGCTCCATCAACCCTTCCTAAGAGAGGTGCTCCAGCCCTCAGATCATCTTCGTGGCTCTCCTCTGGACCCGCTCCAACAGCCCAATATCTTTCTTGTGTTGGGGGTTCCAGGCCTGGATGCAATACTGCAGATGGGGCCTCCCAAGGGCAGAATAGAGGGGGACAATCCCACCCCTTGCCCTGCTGCTCACCCCTCTTTTGATATAACCCAGGACACAGTTGGCCTTCTGGGCTGCAGCCGCACATGGCTGGCTCATGACAAGCCTGTGAATTGCAGTTCTTAGCCTCGCAGGCATGGGCAGTTTCTTCTGCAGCTGTCCATTTAATTTTGTAAAACAAAATGAGGAGAACTGTCGATGTGGTTCAGTGTGATCTGTGGTTAATAAACATTTCTTGTGGTACACTGAATATATTTTCCACATGATGACATTGCTGGCATGGCTGGGTGTGTGCTGGTGGGATGGGAGCATTTAAAAGCAAGATCTGAATTTCTCCTGTCCTTTCCCTTTTCAGATCTCCTCCAGGTGTGCACCTTCCTTGAGGACAAGTAGTGAGATGGGAAGGACCGTTGCTGGAGGGGGAGGACACTTCAAGCCAGGACTCCTCTCGTGCCCTCAGTACCGAACACCAATCCATGGAGGGCCTTCTGCCTTCACTGCTTCTCTGCCCTTCCTCATCACTCTGAAAGTGGCTGTTTGAGACTTTACCATTCTCTGCTGCCATCACAGCAAGAAATAAAATCTCAAATCTAACGAAGTGCCTGCAGATTTTTTAAAAATGGTCTTTAAGCCCATTCCTCCCTCAGTATCTCTCACCATAGGATGGTGCCTGATGCCAACGTGGCTATTGCCACTTCAGGCTATTGTTGCTCACTAGAGAAATTTGTTTCAACATTTGCCAAAGCAAAATGGCTTAAATATGCCCTAGAACCTAATTAACACATTTTGTACTCTCTGTGCTTTTGCTTCACCCGGGTTATCCCATTGTCTCCCCAGCAGATGAGAGTTGCCCATGGTTGGACACAGGAAGAGGGAGTGTTTATGTCACAGAAACTGAAGGGCGTAGAAGGAAAAAAAAAATCAAAACAAAAAAAACCCAACCAAAATACAGTGGTTGTAAGATGGAAGGTGTGAATAGAAATTACTCCATCTCATATCTCAGCTGGCTGGATCTGAGTCATTTCCACCAGGCAGTACTCTTAAAACACCTAAGTGTATTGTCAGGGAGAGTCCAGGCTTAGACTTCCTTTCTGTAACAAAGTCTAGGATTTAGAAACACGTGTGTTTTGGTAGTCTGTCCAACATGCTGCCCACCTGAAAACAAACATGGAGGTGGGCATCCTGACTGTGACCCACAGTGAAAATAAAAAGAAAAAAAGGTCTGCTGAGGTTCTTCCCTTCAGAGCAACAGAGTCTGGGATAACCCAGCGGGTCCCAACCCTGTTGGTAAGGCAGAAAGTTGGAAGTGCTGCTGAAGGCAGAAAAAATGCTAAGAGCTTCTTGCGTTGAGGGAATTAATATCTTGATGGGCTCACAGTGATGATTTTTGGATGCATACTGTACACGTTATGAGAAGTCCATTAGCCTGACTGAAGATCAACTTGAAAGAGAGAAATGTTGAGTGTGACAGGAAGCAGTAAAATGCTGTCCCTGATATTTATAGTATCTAGGTAGTTCAAGTATAGGTAGATCAAGTACAGATCTGTAGTATGTAGATATAGATCAAGTATATGGGACAGATGGTTTCTTTAACCTGCTCTTAAAAACTAGCAAAGAAAGAGACACAGTGCCCCTAAGAGTCTGCTTCTACAACTAACTGTGGATACAGGCAAAATACTTTCCCTGAGAAAAGCTGCATCATCTCTACTCCCTATCAGGAATAAACCCCTTGTCTCATAAGCAGAAGGCATGGAAAGAAGGAACCACACTAGAAGATAACAATGGGAAAAGACCTCTGTGTATCTCCAGTCCAACCTCCTCAAAGAAAGGGGTCATAGAATCATTTAGGTTGGAAAAGACTTTTAAGATCATCTAGTCCAACTGTAAATGTAACACTGCCAAGTCCTCCACAAAACCATGTCCCTCAGCACCACATCTACATGTCTTCTAAATCCCTCCAGGGATGGGGACTCCACCACTTCCCTAGGCAGTCTGTTTCAATGCTCGACTACCCTTTTGGTGAAGCAGCTTTTCCTCAGATCCAATCTAAACCTCCCTTGGTGCAACTTGAGGCCATTTCCTCTTGTCCTGTCACTTGTTCCTTGGTTGAACAGACCCACCCCCACCTCTCTGCACCCTCCTTTCAGGGAGCTGGAGAGAGACAGAAGGTCTCCCCTCAGCCTCCTTTTCTCCAGGATCAACAACCCCAGTTCCCTCAGCTGTGGACGCATGGGACTTGTGCTCCAGACCCTTCACTAGCTTTGCTGTTCTTCTTTGGACACACTCCAGCATTTCAGCCTCTTTCTTGTAGTGTTGCTCAGGGCTTGACCCAGTCATGCACTGAGAACCTCCAAGGATGGAGACTCCACGCACTCTGAACCTCTCATTTCAATGTATTCCCATTTCTCCTTATTCTGTACCACCATGAAAAGCCTGGCTCCATCTTCCTGATGCCCGGTACAAATGTGGCCATCTCTTCTCCAGGCTCAACAAGTCTCGGTCCCTCAGCCTTACCCCACAGGGTGAGTCTCCAGCCCCCTGCCCATCTTGGTGATTCATTTCTGAGCTTGCTATGAATGTCTTGCTTGAAGCAGGGGGGCCAAAACCAGACGTAGGACCTAGATGTGGCCAAACATTTCAAGATGTTTGTGTCTCAAACCAAGGATTTGGTGCTGAGCAGAAGGGGTCAATCATAAAAAGTTGTGAATGCTCCCTCCCTGGACAGAGTTAGTTTTTTTCTTAGTAGCTAGAATAGCTTTGGTTTGGTTTGAGTGGGGGATTTGTCATGAGAATGTTGATGAGGTACTAAAGTTATTAGTTTCTGGTGGAAAACCAAGGTCTTCGTGTTTTGGGTAGTTTGCAGGTGGAAAGGACTGAGAAGGGGGAAGTGCAGTAATTAGCAAAACCCTAAATTGGCATCTGGATGTGCCAGTGAAATATTCCATATCATATCACGTCACGGTCAGTATATTAACCAGGGCTGACTGGAAAGCTCAGGGCTTCTCTTGGGGATCGCTTGGGCTCTCGCTCTTCTGGGATTGTGTTTTCTGAGATGGCTGACTCAGAAAGGCAGCACTGGCTGGGCATTGTTTGGCAGGTGGTGAGCAATTGCACTGTGCATCACTCATTTGTACATTCTGTTATTACTGTTATTTTTATGATAATTTCATTTCAATTAGTAAATTGTTTTT